CTGTGATGTACAAAATGACTAACATACTGGTGGACGTGCCAACGCGTACCTAATACCAGCTCAGAAAAGAACCAGAAATAGTCATGCCTTCGAATCAAGTACCAGAGATATCAACCAAGGATTGAGGTGCTAAAAACTCATTCCTACCTAGACTATCGCAGAGTGGAACTCGCTGTCACCAAGTGCAGAAGGGCATTATCATTAGATAGCTTAAAAACAATGTTTAGAGTTATATGTTCAAAGGTTAGTTGTAACAAGTCGTTCGATGTAGCCAGCTTTTGCCGCGCCGCGTGTCCGCGAAGCTGGTGTGTTACGCCGACGGATACAGATAGAGATACGATGCAAAACATGCAAGTTGCCCCAACTGTGTTCTGTCAGCGACTTCGCATTTCTGCCTCACAGATACCGGTATGTTATGAGATAGGGTTGAATTCAACTTACTACAGTCTTTGCTGAATCGAAGCCTTCATTCGGCGACTCCACACTAGAAAGTGTTGTTACGTTACACAATGATGAACTCGCCAGTTTTGTGCATTTTGAGGACTTTTCGTTTCTTATTTTTGGACGTCTTTCAAGTGTGGAAACGGCTTTTAGCTAAACCCTTTGGCTTAGCCTTCCAGTGGAAAAGTCCACAGCACTTGAAAGACGCCCAAAACAAGCAAAGATATACCCAAAACTAAGAAAAACGGCCAAAGCGTCGAGGTTAAATGTTATTCTGACCTACAAGTTTCTGTCGTGTAAATATTTTGTAAAGTGGTTTCCTGTACACTGTAGGTCGCTGGCTTCCAACCGTCACCCACTGGTTAACTAAGGTTTGGGTGTTAAGAGTATTAAACGCCTTCTGACTGAATGGTGACTGTTCAGTGAATTAAAATTGGATTCGTATGAGCCATGGCTTGAAAAAGCTTGCGCAGTACGTTCTGTCGACGTGCTCATGCGCATTGGCATTCCGTTTCGGATTATGTTCGCACAGGCTCCGTATGCCACAGCCTAGTACAGCGCTTCACCTTTAAGTCGCCAGAGGGGGCTCCCTCAACTACTCAATCCAGGGATTCCAGGGTGTTCTCACTCCTGCTCTCGCTCTCTATTGGGCTTTTAATGCTTCGACAGTATAGTAAGCTGATAGTGGAACCAAGGTACTAAAGTATACAACCACCTATCCAACCACCTACCCAACCAACCTTACAGCCAGCAACCACCCACCCAACCACCTACCCAACCAACCTTACAGCCAGCCAGCCAGCCAGCCAACCAACCAACCAACCAACCAACCAACCAACCAACCAACCAACCAACCAACCAACCAACCAACAAACCAGCCAGCCAGCCAGCCAACCAACCAACCAACCAACCAACCAACCAACCAACCAACCAACCAACCAACCAACCAACCAACCAACCAACCAACCAACCAACCAACCAACCAACCAACCAACCAACCAACCAACCAACCAACCAACCAACCAACCAACCAACCAACCAACCAACCAACCAACCAACCAACCAACCAACCAACCAACCAACCAACCAACCAACCAACCAACCAAAATTTACATCACAGAAAGCACAATATCCTCGTGGGAGCATATGATATTACGTCTAAGATAAAACACTATACACGTATTTTGTATTGTGAAGTCCCAAGCGGTTCAGATTTCGGTAGGGTTCACTGCACCATTGGCCAATGACACGGGCGACATGGGTACGCGTGGTTTGCCGCGTGACATTGAATAAACCTAGCTGAGGTCAATGTCCAGTGGTTCAATCACATACTGAAATACTGAATCAACATCATGGAAACATTCTGTAATACGTGTGGGAGCCTCTGATATTAAAATAAAGCATTGTGTATAAAGTATTTTGTGTTGTAAAGTTCCAAGCGTTTAGATTTCTGTAAAGTTGCACCGTTGGCCACTGACACGTGTGGGTACACGTGAGACAGAGTGGATACGTGTTGTTTTGCTGTGACATTGATAAAACCTAGCGGGGGTCAATGTCAACTGTGCGCCCCTTTTAGAACATGAATCTCAAGTTGAATATCCAATTCCGTTTTGTCACGACAAGGTGTGGGAGGGGGGCACACGGCAACATTTGTCAACCACATGTTACAAACATGCTTGGAGAGCGATTTGGAGACCACGTTTCTGATCTATAAGCAGATAAATCAAACTATCGATCAATCTTCCGCTGATGCCTGGTGCTTTAGATAGTTTTGTTCTGTTCTCAGCATCAGACCTGCAACATGTACGTTCACCCTGGAGACCCCGAGCCAACTCAGTGCACGTGTGTTGAAGTTGAACTTGACGACTTGGTTGTCCTACTTGCTTCTGGGCCTTACTTATATTTAATTTCCCTTCCGATATCCGACTGTTTACAAAACCTGTTTTAGCTGTTGAGTGTCGAGTCTCTAAATTTCCGTTAAGTTTCGTTCTCCCCGCAAATAAGTCGGTCCCGCTTGATTTCAACTATAGAACGAGAGGGATTCGGCAGATGAATAGGTTAGGTGATGATGATGATAATATGTTAAGTAACCGAGTTAAAATGTACTTGAAGATTAGCCGTTTTCAAGGCTTGTTTTCTCATGGCATACCGTTTCTGAGTGAGCGACCCTTAGAAGCTCGGGTTCTAATTGAGTGCTGTTCATGGTAAAATTTCCTCGGCCTCATGTTGGCCCTGGGGCCAAAGAGCTGGCCTGTCTGTTTGCCATCATGCAATATGTATTCGTGCGCGAGTAGGATATTCTATATACTGAATGATTACCTTCGTGTGGATTATTGTATGACTTCCGTACGTAAAATTTTCAGACCTGTTGATTTTTTCGGGGAGCGACGTGAGGGGACGGTTTTGCCGCCGAGGGAGCCGGAGTTTGGCGGGGAGAGTTTTTGGCGGTGAAAAATTGGTGAAATCACAATTTCACACCAACAAATAGTTCCCAAACCAATTGTCAAAATGTTGGATTTTAAGCCTACTAACTTAACTTACACCATGATCTTACGAAGCTTTCGTATGATTTTTTGCCAGATTGGCAGACTCGTGCAGTATGTGATTGAACCACTGGACATTGACCTCAGCTAGGTTTATTCAATGTCACGCGGCAAACCACGCGTACCCATGTCGCCCGTGTCAGTGGCCAATGGTGCAGTGAACTCTACCGAAATCTGAACCGCTTGGGACTTCACAATACAAAATACGTGTATAGTGTTTTATCTTAGACGTGATTTCAGAGGCTCCTAAAAGGATATTATGTTTTCTGTGATGTACACTTTGGTTGGTTGGTTGGTTGGTTGGTTGGTTGGTTGGTTGGTTGGTTGGTTGGTTGGTTGGTTGGTTGGTTGGTTCAATTTCGCTTCATCCTTAGGGGGGAATGTGTTCTTTGATGACCGCTGGAAGCTGAACTATGTTATTACATTAAGAGTATGATTATGTATGTATATACATGTATGTAAGGGATTTCATCAACATTAAGCTGAAAGTTTAAGGTTGTACATGTATTGATACAAATTGAAACATTTGGCATGACAAAAAGTTTTATGACTGAGCATAAGTTGTACGGCTGATCGATGAGTATTAACTCTGAAGTTTTTGTCGTACATTCCAATATAAACTCAAGGACGTTTTGAAGATGAAATTTTTCATGTGTCCCTTAAAACAGATGGAAGCGTAGGAGACGTAGAGTTCTAAAATAGAAATTTGCTGTTAAATTTAGAAATTCTGTCTTTATTTAGCTCGCCCTAGTTCCGGTAAATCAGGATGTATATTTTTTTGCCGATCCAAAATAATTTCATGTCATAGAATACGGCGGTGCGTGTTCCTTATTACTGAGAACAGGAGACGGCCTTGTGCTGGCCACAAGAGCGCCAGAAATAGACCCGAAGTCGCTATAAATACCACCGGTTGACAGAAAAGGTAGTTTATAATGTTGTCTGGAGAGGGCGGCCCGCGGCGCAGAAGACGTGGGATGGGACAAAAATGGGGTCATCTATTAAACATGAGCAGGCATGCGGGGGTATGCACAAAAATGCGGCCAGAAACGACGTCAGCACACGAGACGACATGAGGGGACACTTTTACATACTATATTCCGGGTCTAAAACATATAACAACCGCGTTAGAGTAAGTGGTAAACTCACCGTTCAACTCTCGCATAGTTTGAATACTTCAAATCAGTGACGTTGATGCAACTGAACTGAAGCGCCCCCTATATTGCAGTTCACGTGACAGTCTTTAACACAACGTTTCTGCGAAGCCCGCCTCAACTTTATCGGAAAATTCACACAGAATTGGAACGTACGAAAAAGGACTACAACATTGAGAGTAACAAATAGACATCTACACATTGCGAGAGTAGTCTTAGTTCTAAGGAAAATATAGAAGAGTGTTAACTTTATAAATACACACCAAAACTTTAGCGGTATGCTTACACACACATATAAGTAGACCAAGGAAGTCTATTAAACCTGTTCGAGTAGACGAAATATGGATAAAAATATATCATCAAAGGCGGGTTGAAACTTATTCTTCGTGTTAACGGTAATTATCACTACCAAACAGGCAGTAACATTTATAAATCTAACTTGCTAGTAGTTTAGTAGAAGCTGGTTATACTGATTTCGTATTGCATTTAAAAACCCTTTCAATATGACATGCCAATATATTTAATCCTCACATAAGGATATAATAAAACAGATTAACTAGATGGTCAACCTTAATGTCAGCAAAAAAACGCCCGTTTTATAGCAAATAAAAAAAAAGAACACGAGAAGTTGTTGACGATGTTGTGTGGTTGTGCGGAGTTGTTTGAGAGGAGTCGGGGGAGGGTCTGCTGCCAATGGGGCATCCGCGCTCCCCACCGCGCCTGCTGATCAAAGACTCAATCCATCAGCAAACGTCATCCACTGTATAAAACATCCCTCATATCCTACAAGCATCAGAACGCTTGTTTCAACCGACGGAGAACAACGTACAACCCAGCTTACAACCCAACTGGACATACTAGAGACATGTTCGCGATCAGTGCTTCCTTCATCATGTCTGGTAAGTTGGCAGTCTTAGAAATGCGTTTCCTTTATAAGGATATTCAATAGTAAAAGTAACGGAAACTTTGCGCTCATTGACGAAGTGTCTGTGATAGTGAATTTTGACGTATACGCAATTTTTTTCTTTGTATAAAAAGGCTCGGGCTTTACAACTTTTTCTTAGATCGATGGTAAATTTAGCTAAAAATATTCTAGGTGTGGATGTACTCGTAACATGTCTTTCTTTCGGTACGTTCTGTAGGTTTGCAGTTGATGACATCGGGACTCCTGCTACTATTTGTCCTACCGACTATAACCGCCCGCAGTCTGGCGCGGCCGGCCCGGGACACGACCGACGAGCGGACACCGTGCGAACATTACACCAACATGTACCAGATCACCGTACGACTAGCGCTGTCAGTCAACAGCACGCACTCCGTTCTGGTACGTTCTGCCTTATGATTTTGTTTCTCTTCCAAGATGTTTCCTCTCTTGTTCTTTCCACATTCGCCTCATCATACAAGTGGTCTTTATGTAAAAGATTAGAAGTTAGCAAACGGTTGACTAGCAACTTGTACATTTCAAAATATACGTTTCCTTCATCACAAACCTTCATGTTGCAACTAAAGGTGAATTGCCTAGATAGTTGTTGAGGTATTTTTAGCTTATGAAGGAAGTGGAATTTTCGTTTTTTTTTTAAATTTGATATAGCGCGTTAAGTACTTAAATTTATTTCAATACAGAGAACCAATCAAAGAATTTACTAACCGAATTTTTCTTATCTTTTTCACCATAGACTGATACGTACGGCGGGACGGCGTCGGTTGCCGGGAGTTTTGGGTACGGGTTCACCCTGGAGAGTCTGGACACAGCCCTGAGGATGCCGTATCGCAACTGGACAAAACCCGGGGTAAGGGACTTCTTTATCTGTCGAGATTCACCTCCCATTGTGGAAGGATTGACATGTGTCAACTCTGAGACCAGGTCGTACTGTTAGATCCACTCGTGCCGGGAAGGACCCCTACTCTTTTCGATAAGTGTTGTGGGATCTTTACACGTGAGTGTATCTCTTTAAAAACCGTGACCTCCAATTTACGTCCCATCCGAGAGGACGTCCCTAACCGAAGCTAGGTACCCTTTACACCTGAGTCCAGTGAGGATATAAGTGCAAAGTGCCTTTCCCAAGTGTACAGCGTTGGGGCCTGCCTGGGATTCGAGCCCACAACCTTTAGATTCTGAGTCAACAACCCTAACCAGAAGATCACCTTGCCACCTGATGTATGTCCCACAAACCCCAAAAAAAGTTTAGATAGAGATCAATCTTGTTTCTTTGACGTCACTGGGCGAAGGGAGAGAGGTACAGAAGCCTCCCCCTTATAACCTACACGTGTGTATCATGGACTGATACCAAACTCTGAAAACTCTGCTTACTTTGGTTCTCAAGTTGTAGAAGTTATAGAACGTCAGCACAGCATGAATTCGTCTGCTCATATCATTTGAGTTATTATATGTTTTTATGTCAACGAGATATCTAGATAGACATCTGACTGTAAAAGGGCACCCTCTTATGATGAGTAATATCATGGCTCTAGGGATATAGGCTTAACTAATTGGTGGCAGCTGGCTAGGCTTGGAAGTTAGCTGAGAAGCCAGAACATAGATCCTAGCTATAGGCTGAGATATGACCCAGAAATGTAAATGTAAAAGTTCAAGTATGACAAGAGTAATCGTATTATGATTATAGTGTATGCGAAGTTGCGAATATTGATGTTACATTACAATGTATGGACGAATCTAACCGTTGAAATTTCATCTCCACAGTTTCTGTTCGAATGCCGCCAGTCCCGAGGCAATGGCACGTGTCCACCTCCACTTAACATCTCTGTAAGTACTACAAAACTATGTACTGTATAGAAAACTATTGCTACAACGTTTAAATCTTTGCTGTGTACTTTAAAAGATAAAAAAGAGGATGTCCTCCATGCTTTATATGATTATAATAATATAATTTCGCGAATTGGCAAGAGTAGGGGGCCAACTACCTTCGCATGTTATCTGCCTATTTGGTCAAGTTTTTACTCTCAAGTTCCTCGCCGGGCGCTTCTGAAGCCTGGTAGAAGCTATAGCTAGAGGGAACGTGGCCGGGACCTTATTTGTTGCTGCGCTTTAAAAGTTTTCATGTATATTAAATCTACTGTTTTTCCTTCTTTCCCCATCAGGTCGAAGAAAAAGTGAACAGGCTCCACACGGACCTGAGAACGTTCCGCACGTACCTACAGGAGGTCCGGGACGACGAGGAGAGACACGCGGAGGAACAGGGGTCCGACACGGGGCTGCTGGACGCTCTGACCCGAACCACCAACATCCTGGAGTCGCTGCTGACAAACATCAGAATAACGGTAAGGGGCGATTTTTAAAAATATATAGATTCAAAATTCTTTAAGACGGAGGTCCTTACTCTCCAAGCAGAGGTTTAGGCATAAATTGACGTGTTTTAGACGTTTTTTTTCCGGGCTTCTTTTAAAGGCATCCAATGCAATTTCAGGGTGGCAAAACAAAAAATATTTTGCTGAATAAATTTATGCCTGATATTAATTGACATGCACTGTAATTTGTTATACTTGAAGTGTCTGAAGTCTTTTTATACCTACCTGAAACGCCGGACCGTTTCCAAGTTTATATCAAGTTGGTTGAGGAACTGTTTTTGGCATTCTTTTATATTCTATTGGTAACATGGATATCTATTTTACATTGAAGGTGAATATGTTGTGTAGTGCTGTGTAAACGTCTCGACATCAATGTGCAACATTTACAGTGTTTGAAATTAAATAAAGTGTTATTTTTTAAAACTTTACACAGGCAGAAGCAATGGGGTTCGCCATCTTGGATGACGTCCCAGCGGGAGTCATGACGTCAACAGAAAAGGATCCAACCGGAGAGCTGCTAAGACGATCACGTGACCAGCAGGTCGTCTGGGAGTTTTTGTGGTACCTTCGGTGGGCGTCGAGCGACATCACGTGGATAAAACACAGATACTGCCAACAGTAATTGATATGTACATAAATGATACATATAAATATGATCTATTTATATTTGCCAGTCATAATATATGAATATTCTTTAATAAGAGCACAAAGTCGTAAGAAATACGCAAATGTATCAATATGTACAGATTTGTCCGCCATCATGTTGAGTATAATTTTAATTATACTCAACATTATTAACATGATTATACTCAACATTATTAACATAACTATACTCAACACTCAACATTCTTAAAAGAAAGAAAGAGCTCTTTTGAATTGTTCTCTGTTATAGAAACAAGCCTGCTGGCAGGTTTTTTCGTCTGTATATTAAGATGCAAGTAATTAAAGTCAGTAATTTTATTAATTTAAATAAAGCATAAATCTTTATGATGCATTTCTTGTAGTTTTGTTTGTGCTTAGAAACAGCTCTGAAAACTATATTTATATTGATATGCTTTTATTATTTGTACTTCGACAGAAGAGATCAAGAAACAACACGTTGTTTTTATTGAACATCATGGCTATGTGTTCTTTTTTTTGTTTCCTGAACTTTAGCTTATCCCCAGTGTTCTTATTGCAATGTTCCAGCTAGAGTCGAGTATCATTCACCCTTTCTAAAAGGTTTAGAATTAAGATAATGAAATAGGGTCGGACTGGCCAGGGGAGTGGTCCACTGCATGGGTTTTCATTCCCCCATTGGGCAAATGAACTATCAAACTTCTCTGGCCAAGAATTCCCAATTTGGGGCTAGACTTTTGAACTGTTTGAACTCGCGTTGTTAGTCTGGAGACTTAGAGTCAAATGTAAACCATCCTGGATGCTAGATGAGGCCGGAAAGAGTAGAAATTAGCCGCAGACAGATAACAGTTCATTTACATTTCAAATTCGCTTGATACGATAACATTTCAGTGGAGTTGGTCCGCTAAATAACTTTTTTTCAGATCGGCAAACTGCACTCTTTTAGCGGACTAACTCCCCTGGCATGTTGTCTGTGTGTCTATTCGGCCAGTTTCTACTCTTTCCAGCCGCCTCAGAAGCCTGGTAGAGGCTAAAGAAACTTGTCTGTAGACCCTTTAAACAGTACCGGCGTCCAGGCTATACTGATCGATGATGAGAGGCGCCGGCGCATTCTTCGCCGAGGCTTCCCGCTGATGTCCGTCCCAGTTTCCCGACCACATCCCCGCCCACTACGTACGGCCACCTTGTCGAACATGGTTCCAATGAGAACAGTTTGACCCGGGGATCAAATGTTTCCAAAAATACCTGCAAAAGTTCCGGTGTGTTATCTCGGTAGCATCTACAACGTCGGAACATCCATAGGCGTGACCTTTTTTCTGGTGTGATAATAGAACGCAGGACTGTATTAAGAGCAAAATGATGGCATTTACAGCGTTGGATAGACAGAGAAAGTATCGAGATCAAATTGCATCGAACGCGCGAACGTTGCATTCTAAGTTTCTTTAACTGATCAATTTGTTTTCAACAACTCAACTTTTCGGGAGAGTGCAAAGGAGCACCGTAACATATCGGATGGCAAACAGGCTACTACAATAGTGCAAAATAACAGAACATTTTGCACCAGCCAGCTTAGGAGTGTGTTGCCGGCCGCAGTTCTACTGAAAGCATAGGGTCCAGTGACTGTGCGCATATTACTTTGGGCCCACTGTACTATGGGCTGGCATCCAGGCTATCTCCAACCATGCTAATTGTCCCGTGGGGAATGGTAACCAGGCTACTACAAATCCTGCCAAAGCATCTCACTGCAATATATTTGTGTACCGCTAGGGCACGCCACCGCATCGCAAGTTATCTATCCCTGCAAGGAAACCCCGAACCTCGAAATAAGTCTCTAACAAGAGATATTAATCTTTTGAATGTCCTGACACCGCGGGGTAACTAAAGGGTAGTGGGGGTGAGGGGGTGTGTGGTTAGATATGATTTGCCTATTATTACAGCTTTTCATTGGTGCTAACGTATTACGTTTGTAGTTCTTATCATGATGAATTAAAAAAAACTAAGTTTTGTGTTGTTTGGAATTGCCAAAGTTCATATAGCTCCAAAAATCATATTCAAGAGAACAAAATACCGCGCTGTTGGGTTTCCATGAAGGCCTATATGGGACCTGTCCTTGGTGCTGAATGATGTATTTTTTTGTCATTTTTTAGTCCTACATGTACAATGCATGGTTTAAATTTGCTACTTATATTCATTGATAGAATTATGGTATAACTTTTTACAGAAAATGGTATGTATGCATATCAAAATATTTCAGACAGTAATGTAACGTGCCACCATATGCATGATGGATTTGATTACCAACCACATGGAATAACCTACCGTCGGACCTGCAGCATTTAAGAACAAATCTGGTATTTAATCAGGACTGGTCAAGGACTTCCATGCTAAAACAATTGCAAGGTAGACGAAATCAACATAACTCAAGTTAAAGCATATTAATGTAAAATAAGTTGTAATTATTTTATTGAAACTGTGTAAAGTTGAATGTCATTTTAATGATTGCAAAGCATGTGTAGGATGAAAATTGTGTACGTCTAGTGGCGTAGATGCCCAATGTTATTTTTATATGATTGTGAAGTCTGTGTATTGTTTCGTCTTATGTTGTTGGAATCCAGGAAGATTAGTCGCACAAAAATTTGTGCAACTAATGGATACCCTAATAAGGATCAAGTACCAACCCATCGGCATGACTCATTGATCTCTGTGCAGCCGATCGGTGTCACGTGACGTGAATTGGTAACTTTTACCGCCATGCTTTTGTGTTGTTTGGAGGTATGTCCAGTATCAGGGTGAAGTGGCAGAAGTTAGGGTGGCAGAAGTTGTCTGAAGTTGTCCGAAGTTACGACCATTTCCGAGTGGTTTTGGGGGTTATCGGGAGTAAAGTCTGACGTCACTGTAACTTCCGACACTTGTGGGGTAGGGTGGCAGGTGTCTGAAGTTGTCCGAAGTTGTCTGAAGTTACGTGACGTCACTGTAACTTCCGACACTTGTGGGGTAGGGTGGCAGGTGTCTGAAGTTGTCTGAAGTTACGTGACGTCACTGTAACTTCCGACACTTGTGGGGTAGGGTGGCAGGTGTCTGAAGTTGTCTGAAGTTACGTGACGTCACTGTAACTTCCGACACTCCAGGTGTCCAAAGTTGTCTGAAGTTGAAGATGGAAAGATTGAAAGCAAAAAAGTTCCAGTTTTGACATTTAATAAACATTTTCAATGTTGCATTTAACGTATTGTAGGTTGAGGTTTTGCTGGAGTCATGTTAGACGAACTAATATTTTTTTATATTATTTTATATTTTCTCGGAATCCGTAATCTGGTGTCGTCAGGCGTTTATTGTTTATTCCTGGTGGGGTGCCTAACGCGTCTGCAATCATCACGTGGGTACGATCGCCACCAAGACCATAATTATAATAGAAAAACTGACGTAACTTTATCATTAACCTGAAGATTTGTTAGGTTCAGTTTACCCGACGACGTCTGCGCACGTTGTCCTTGATGATCCATAGACTGGCTACTATGCTGGTTAGTTTACGTCCGCTCCGATAGTAGCGACTATGATCAAACCGCCAGGTAAATGTTTTAAATTACAAGTGACACCGTTTAGAACACACTCCACGGTTCGAATTACAAGTGACACACTTATAGAATCACATTCGAATTACCGGCCAGTTCGAATTACAACGTAAATGACGCCAGATGTTGACATCTCAAACGTGCCTTTCGCGCGTAGAAGTCATGTTACAAGTTAATGGATATATTTTC